CGCGGGGCGGCCGCTCGCTGTCCCGCGGGGGTTCGCTCGGGAGGCTGCGCCCGCGCCCTCACGGTGCCTCGTGTCTTGCAGAGCCACGAAGAGGAGGACAGGAAGGTGAGGAGGAGAGAGAAGAACCGCGTGGCTGCCCAGAGGAGTCGCAAGAAGCAAACTCAGAAGGCGGATAAGCTGCACGAGGTGGGTGGGCGCTCGCGGGCTCGCGCCGGGCGCGGGACGTGTCCCTTAGCGGCGCTGCTCGAGCCGCCGTGGGGCTGGCGTCGCGCGAGGCGCCCTCGTGGGGAGCGGGTGCGAAGCGGCGCCGGGAGCAGCACCAGCCGCGCAGCGCCTTGCTCTTGTGCAGGGCGCCGGAGCAGCCACGGAGCCGCAGTGCCACCCGTGGGCGCCCAGGGCCACGGSCGAGCCCGCGTCTCGCCCTGCCCTTGCGCCGCGGCGAGCGGCCGCCCGCTGAGCGGGCTCGAGGCTCCAGCGGCAAAGCGGAGCCTTTCCTGGTGTGGAGCCCCGTGGGTTGGCTCTGTCAGCGCGGGAGTGCTTCACACCTCSCAGCAGAGTGGGGCTGGAGGAGAAGGACCCTGCGCCTTCCTGCGGCGGTCTCCGTTTAGATCTGCTCCAAACTGGTGCTGTGGGGCAGAAATACCCAGCTGAGGAGGCTTCTTAGGAACTCCAAAACCCCGCACGCAAGAGCTCAGCTCACCCCTCACATAAGAGTGGGTGTTTCACGTACACATGCGACTACTTGGTTCTTCCAGAAACTCCTAACGCTTCTTCTCAGTGTCACAGTGCGTGGAGGCTTCTTGTGTGCCCCATGCAGAGATTAGAGTTGCTTTTTGCTGCCTCTGGAACTGCTGTCATGCACGAGTGTGTTGGCAGCACTTGAGGTAGAGGTTGGTGCTGCTGCTACTGCTGCGGCCACTGCTGCGCCGGTCACGCCGCTCTGGACGTTGAGAAGTCTCCTCTGCCCCACAAGGTGGAAGGATCTGCCAACAGGAGGCAGTCTCAGGAGTTTTGGTTTTGCTTTTTCCCAGATCTGAGTCAGCACCTGAGAAAGCCGGTTGCAGGGAACTTCTGGAAAGGGGTAACCCCGGGCTTTCGTGGAATCGGCACTGACGCGTGTCTCATCCAACAGCCTTTCTGCTGCACCCGCTGCGCTGCCACTGAGTTGCTCAGTCATGTTGGGGWTAGGGGGCAGGCAGGTTTTCCCGGGGGAAGGAGGTTTTGTTGCATAATGTCAACTTGTAGCATGGCAGGTTGSTATTCTCTTCCCTGAAAATAGTATGGATTAGCTGGGGAGTAACACTGGGGGTGCTTGGGGCAAAAGGAGGTGATCAGAGCCAGAGTGAGGGACGATCGGCTCTGCTGCAGTTTGGCTGTGCTTATRCTTAGGAAGATCGTGCCTGTTTTATTCTGGGCTTGCGAGAGGTGGTGGGTGGTGAGAGAGTGTGAGGAGGGCAAAGGAGCCTTCCTGCCTGCGAGAGAGGGGAGGCTGTGCGGAAACTCCTGAGCTGGCAGCCAGCACCGCCGTGACCGTAGCACCAGCACTTGCTCCAAGGTAGCCCCAAGGGTCCCAGCTACAGCAGACACYCCTGCATCCAGCATCCAGGCTGGATGAGAAAGGCAACCAACCCTTGTCCTCCAGCCTTTGCACGGGGCACACAATAAACCTCCACCACACTGAGATGCTGAGAAGAAGCGTTCAGAGTTTCTGGAAGAACCAGATAGTCGTGTGYGTATGTGAAACACCCACTGTTACTGTGAGGGGTCACCCGTGCACGGAGTAGCTGTTCTCTCGTGTGTGGGGGTTCTGGAGTTCCCAAGAAGCTTCTTCAGATGGGTGTTGCTTCTTCGCAACACTGTTTTGGAGCTGATATAAACTGATGCCACCAGAGATGGGGCCGTGAAGAAGAGAAGGGGAGCAGAAGAGAAGGGGAGCAGAGGCATTCGTGAGGAAACCCGAGGAGCCCTGCGTGAGCGGCTCTCCCTGTTTCCTGGTAAACAGGTCTCCTGAAGCACGTGTAGGCTTCGAAGTTTGCTCTGGAGCTCCTCAGGGAGGTGGGACTGAGCGGGTGAGCACTGAGCCGCAGCCAGCAGGCAAGGACACCTGCGGGCTTTCCATGGGCTGCATCTGACCCTATAGCACTCCGCCCTTTGGGGCGAGCAGCCCTGGCAGCAGAGGCGCTTGTGACTTGCAGTCCTCGCAGAAATGTGACGCGTGTCCCAGGTGTACAAGGCAGAGCCTCTGCGAGCTCCCCTGCCGCCAAGGGCAGCAGCTTCATCCCCAGAGCCGCCTCCGCACGAGAGCAGCCCTGGTGGTGGTGAGCGGAGGCCCTGCTCCGGGTCTCTGGTGGCCAGGCCGAGCTGGCGCTCGCCGCCTAGGCCGGCCCGTGGCTCCCCACGCAGGTGTCCCGGAGCCGTGGCAGGGCGGAGGGGAGCGGCCGCCCCAGCGCGCCGTGCGGGGCGCAGCGCCGCCTAGGCCGCCCCTGCGCTCCCCGCCATGGCGGSACTGCCCTTTCCTCGCCAGCCGGCCCGGCCCCGGGGCTTCCCGGCACCAGGGGCACTCGGTGCTTTCGTTTTCACGCGCCGCCTGTGGGGGCGGCCAGGGCAGCTCTGACCCCCTCAGGGTGCAGCCACCTGCACCCCCAGCCCTGGGCTTCCCCGGGCCTGCTTAGGTGGCCCCCGGCACCTCCTCATCCTCGGGGCCACGGAGGAGTCGCCGCCCTGTCAGGCTGTAATTCACTCACCGGTTCAGGCACCAGGGTTTGCCTAAGGGTGCGTCTTTCCTGAGCATTTTGCACATCTGGAATAAGCAGAAACAGCACTTTTTGTCTGGGGTGACCTGGGTATGTGCAAGGTGGAAGCACTGAAAGGAATGTTTTGACTATGTGTAGGCTCCTTTTTATTTTCTTCTCCTTCCAGGAGTATGAATCTCTTGAGCAAGAAAATACCTCCCTGAAGAGAGAAATTGGAAAGCTAACAGATGAAATGAAACACTTGAGTGAAGTGTTGAAGGATCATGAAAAGATCTGTCCACTATTGCACTGCTCCATGAACTTTGTGACCGTACCGAGGCCTGATGCACTCACCAGCTGCCTGCCGAGATGAGAGCTCTCCTTGATCACCTTGCAGTGAGGGCTAAGGCACCCATCAACGGGGAAAATTTGAACAACTGCCTACCTGCAGTGCGGGTCTGTCTTCAAAGAGGACTGCACTTGACACACAGGTCTTCTCCATGTCGAAATCCTATAGTCTTCGAAACACCAGTATGGAAAAAARCTTGGAAGGCGACTGCCTCTGGCAGCATGCGGAGGCCGCGGGTTTGTGTTCAGCAATGTCCAAGCAGGCTGCAGCCCACGAGCGCGGCGTGGGATGCAGGTGCAGGAGAGCACCGGGCGCCTCTCTCCTGTGCGTCCACCGCTAGTGACTCTTGGGCAGTTGTCATCCTGAGAGATCCTATTCTGGCTGCTGTTCTTCTCTAAACGGGTTTGGTTAATAAAAGCAATGGCCTAGCTTTATGATGTTCTCCACCTCATTCAATTTATAATGTCTTCTGAACATCTCTGCTTTTACTTACTGGTCAAAGCCAAAGTCTACTGCTAATCTTCCTGCCAGTTGTTTTATTGCTTGCTTATCACCACTTCWGTGCTTCCTCTTTTGAAGTGTGGTCAACAAAGGAGGTTTGCCAGTCCTTATTTCTTTACTACCTATCATCATCCACCTAATAATGTGGGTTCTCCGGGTGTTTTATATCGTAAAATATAGTTCAACCAATTTCACCTGATGATTGCCTGGTCTATGTGGTGGAAGACCTAAGTATTTCTTTTTTTGCTGTTTTAAAGCTTTGTCTTAAAGAACCAATTTTAAATTTGACAGATTTATTGTATCCACTGGAAATTAGTAAGGGGTTGGTTTGATTTGGGGGAGATATTTTGTGGGGAAGAGTTGAGGTTTTGTTGGTTTGTTTTTGTGTTTTTGATCATGTGATAATAATCCTTTCCTTTTATTTGGCATGGTGCTTTGGGTCTGGCTTCTGAGGGTAGCATACAGTCAGTTTTGCTATGCATTTTGCTCTGTATCCCCACTGAGATATTTGGATAACTGTTTGTAAAAGAAACAGTACAATTTAGTGCTTTTTTTTCTGGAAATGAATTATTGCAATGTTTCTGAGATGTACATTGAAAAAAATCCAAAGTTCTTACTTTCTCTGAAGCTYCTTAGCAGTGTCAAGCACTAGAAATGTGAATGCTGTAGCCTGGGCAAAGAGTGSTTTTCTCACAGCATTTCCTAATCAAAGAGCGCCTTGGGAACAAACCAACTCTCTCTCTTCACCATTTGGATTTTCCTTCAGTCCAGCTCAAGGGATTCAGCTCTGCCATCAGCTAGACTTGGATTTTATCAGCAGAATATAATCTGTTAATGTTAAAGTTCTGTTAACATTGTTGTGTTACTGAACACTGCAAAGAATGAGGGAAACAGTAGCCAGCTCTCTGCCTTCTGAAAGACCCTCTCATGCTGTTGTTTTATGCCAAAAGTTCAAGACCAACAGAATGAGAGATCCTTTGATTTCTCTTAAGAATTTCTTTAGGGTGTTCCTGGGTGAATTTTCAGCACATGCAGAAGCTGTCTGAAGCCTACATGCAATCTTCAAAGTTTCTTACAGTCCTGTAAAAACTGAGTCATCTTGAAGGAAGGTCTGATGTAGTCCCTGTGCAGGAAAAAGAAAGCTCCAGGATACTTCTCAAATGCTTTTCAGATAAAGTCCTGGATCGGGCACTGCGTGGTACCTTTACGGAAGTTCTCAGGAGCATCTTAGTCCACCATACCTGCCTTACTTCAGKCCCCAGATGCCAGCCCCAGTGTAACTTGGAGGAGCAGAGTTGCAACAGCACAGCAGAAATGCACAGCATCCGCTTAGGGACAAGTCAGTATAGCTTAGGATGGAAGGAAAGTGCCTCRCATCTCCTCAGAGGTGCGTGCAGCTGAGCTGAGGCTGGTGTTGGGAAAGAGCTAGTGGGGTCAGAGCTGGTGCAGAAATACAATCTCTSCTATGTAGTCCTGCGGACCTTCAAAAACAGGAGGAAAGAGCAAGTGTTCTGTCACCAGAGGCCATCCCCACCGAATCTTCCCATGGGTTTAGTCCCACAGGTGCTTTCTTCTAGAAAGAGAGATCCAATTCCCTCCTCCTTACACTGGAGAGCCAGCACTTTCATTCTTCTTAAACATTTGCCAAGAGGCAGGCTCTGTTGGTCATTCAGCAGTCGAGCTCTGTTGAACCTCAGTGCACCAGCAGGCCGTATTCCCCCTCTCTCCATTGGAAGCTCGCTAGCGGCGTGTGAGGAGCTAATGCGTGTGAGGAGCTGAGAGGGCAAGGCGGCCGCGTCGCCGCGTGCTCAGGGCAGCAGCGCGAGCCCGAGGCAGAGCCCCTCGTCCCTGGGCGGCCTCGGAGCCACCACTTGTCCCCTCCCGCAGCCGCAGGGCGCAGCTCCAGCCTGCGTGTCGGGAGCAGGGCGCTTGGATCCTCCGCAGCCCGGCTGCTGCTTCCTCCTCCGTCTGTTGCATCACCTTTCTTTTTTTCCCAGCACTGTTACCAAAGGGCCGGATGCATCACCCTTCTGTTTAATAGTTTAAGCAAGACAGCAGCCACAAACAGTATTTTATATGACTAACATTCAAAGACAGCTGGGAACCCCAAGCAAGAGAAATGAGCAAAATGAGTGTCCCAAGCCAAATAAACCCAACATTCGGGTACATCTACAGAACTAATGTCACAGCTGAATCATGTATCAAAAGGAACAACAAACTGCTAAAAAACACAGGCTGTTAAAGCACAGACTAACAAAAGGATATTCGTGCAGGCAGATAAGACTATTCRCAAGGGCTGTTCTTAAAGACGCTGGTTTGCTGTGGATTTCAAAACTGAAAGTATGTCCTGGAGCCTGGGATAATTGTAACATCAAATAAGGAACCAGAAAGGAGAACAGAAAGGAAAAGGCCCATTTGTTAAGGAAGCAGCAGAAAGATCTTTTTCAGATCCAAACCTCCCCTTTTGCAGCAGGGTACACACCATCACAAACACGTTTCATATCTATATATGGCTAAAATATTGCCTGATGTGTTCTGGCTTTAGAAAGCTTCCAATGAGTTTGACTTGCTGCCTGTGAGTGTGGCCTGTATTTATGTTCCCAGGATTTCCAGGTGCAGGTGTATCTGGGCTCAGATGTTGGCTCGTGTGAGGAGCAAGTGTGAATTATGTACCTGTTTGTGGATGTGTAGTGTAAGTGAAGGTTACCATGAAATACGGATTTTGGTTCTTAGATTCACAATGAAGGTTATAGTTTATCTAGGCTTGTTTAGGATGGATTAGGGCTTTCTTATTTTTGTATTTCCTGTGACCCTAATTCAAAAGCAAAATGCTCAATATGAACTTATCCGAAGCTGAAGGTATTCATTCCGGTAGCAGATGGTGTCCAGTTCAGCTATTTGTCTATTCATTTCTTTCAGCCAGTGTTGGGTCAAATTTAAATTAATCATGTTTCAAAAAGCTAATTTTAGCATTCAAAAGTAAAAAAGTCAACAGAAATGCAGAATGGTTAATGTGAATATAACTGAGATTAATTATTATACCTCAAGAGTAGAAATTTAAGAGAAAAAAAATCCACTCTTTCCCATTTTTACTTTTATGTTTGCGAACATTTACAAGATTCTTTATGCATTCATCCCGAGTCCTGCTCAAAATAGACCTTTTTAAAAACATATTTGCAAGAGCCTGTTCTGCAGACTTCGTGTTTTTCTCTTCCTTTCCCTGGTACATCCCACTGTCAGCAGCTGCTTGGTCTCTAATACCTGCTTGCCTTGTCTGCATCTGCTGCTATTTGCRGTAGCCTTCCTATTCTCCCACCATCCCACTCCAAGTGCTGCTTTTTTGCCTTCTTCCTGTTTTCCTCCTGCTCCCATGTAGCTTCGTGACAAAATTGCTTAATGTTGTCCATATTGCAAGTGCAAGGCTAATCTGTAGGAATGCACAGCAATTGAATTTCACTGCTCATCCTGTATGTGATGAAAGGATTTCATGTGTGGCTAGCTCTGGCAGTTGACTATTAAGGAAATGTGTCTGCACCGTCTTTTAAATCGCATTTAAAAGTGACATAACCTTTACTCTAGCCTACAAACCGCATACTGCTTCCTGTCCATAGATGAATGCTTTGCTGTACAGCATTTGGGGTTTCCATCTGTGAATCAGTCTAGAATTTCTGCCTAAGTACCTCAGTGAAAGTGATAGATAAAGCAAACATTTGAAAAAAAAATCCCTTTTCTCTTCTTCCCATCAGTGTGGTGGTATAATTCCTGTCACAGGAAGGAAGCATGTCTGATAAGCAGGAGAAGTGGTGGGTTTGGTTTACTGTTATAAAGACTAATGTTATTCTCTTCATAGGAGGGTTTTCTGTATGTAAATCCCGAGTTACTGTCAAGTGGAGCCTGGAGAAACCTTTGACATGTACACACAGCATGTGGTGTGGGCATACATCTACGAAGGACTGCAAGAATTCAGGTTCTTTGCAAAAATGTGGTTTTTACACTGATTTCCCTGGAAGCAGAAACAGTCCCACAGTTGCCTTAGACGACATGTGGCACTGTGCTTAATAACCTGGGTAATATTTAACTCAAGAGCAGTTACAGGCTAACTTGAAGTGGTGATTCTTATTAGGGAAACCATAGAAACAATCATCCGTGAGACTGCACGCTCCTTTTCTGGTACTCATTTGTTTTTGTTTTGTTTTGTTTTGTTTTGTTTTTCCCAATAGTTCCTATGGAAAAAAATCCATAAGAATTGAGTAGAATTTTTTTTCTCCCACTGCAGGATTTTTAAACTGTGACATCAAATGTAAGGGCTTGATTATTCTGGAAATAACTGGCATAGCTTTTGCAAACAGGGTGTTCTATGCTAGCTATGTGTTTGGTCTGCTCTAAGAGAATCTCTATGGTTCTCCTTAGAAGTGGATAAGCTAAACCACAAAGGGCTGTCTTGGTATAGAATAAAAACCTCTTCATTCAGGGAGCCAGTGCAAAATGACTAGTGTTCTTCAATTTCACAGCTTGTCATACTCTGAAGCTGCTTCTCCACGTAGCCAAATAGAAAATGATATCCCTAATATGTGTTTGTCTTTTACATCTGCATTAGAAGAGTCTTTGTTGTGTTTAATAAATTCTATAGCCTGTCAGAGTAGCTTTCCAAGCTCGTCTAGGTCTTGCCTGGTGGATGGCACCAGAGGCAGCTCCCCCCAAAACTCGGCCAGTTCTTGGTAGGTGTTTTGGCTGCCTGTTCTCTGGAACAACTTTCCCCTCTCATTGTATCCCATGACGAATTTGTTGTCAGGGTTTCATCTCTATRCATTATTATCACGTTAAAATCTTGCCTCCTGTAGGTGAGATAAACCCTAGAGATTCTAAGGGAGGATCCTAAGGAAATTGTCCTGGGATAAGCAAATTATTCAGGCTCRTCTTCCCATTACAAAGTAACATTTTGAAAATACTACTTCATTATTTGCCTAATGCAAAATAAGTGAGAATAATGACTAAGCAAAAATACTCTGTTTAAACACTAGATAGGGTTACTTCAGTTAGAGAAGATGTGAATTAGAAYGGGAATTGAAAAATTACGAGGGGTAAGTCGAAGCAAAGGCAGCAGTGTGTTTGGAAAAGGGAGCTCTCAAGCTAATGAAATATTGTCAAGGGAGGTTCTCGAGGGTTCATCTCTGACCAATATTGTTTAATGTCTTTGGTAAGGACTTTAAATACAGAAGAACTGTTAATACAGAGAAGGGTTGAAATAGCCTGCCTCCCATGCTGCGTGACCTTGAAGATGAGGATAATAGCGATGCAATTACTGTTAATGTTGCAAAGTCATAAACTTGAAGAATCCA